CTCCATTAATTGATTGATTGATTCTCTTCGAATCGGTGATTTTGATCTGAAACGGAGAGGTCGGAAACAGAAACGCTTATCTTATCCGGTGGTTGATTTTTTTTAGTTTCCGGTGATTCTGAAATTCGAGGGGTTTTTGTTCTGTTCGGTGGTGTGAGGTTTTCAGTGTCTGATTTTGATGGAAGGTAGTGTGGTGGATGATGTTATAAAGAGGTTATTAGGTGCTAAGAACGGGAAGACGACGAAGCAAGTGCAGTTGACGGAGGCGGAGATTAAACATCTTTGCACAACGGCTAAGCAGATCTTTCTCAGTCAACCAAATCTCCTCGAACTCGAAGCTCCTATTAAGATTTGTGGTATTCATTGTTGATACATCAGAAATTTTGATTTCTATCTTTAAATTTCGATATAGTTTGATGTTTTCTACGAGGATTTTGCGTAGAATTGGTTAGTTATAGCTAGATTAAGATATGTGAATGGAGCTTGATTTAGAGAAACTGGTCAACTCTTGTGATTCATAGAAATGCATATGAATCTGTTGTTTAGATGGAAGTATCGGTTTAGTTGATCAGTAATCATCAGTGAGAAGATTAAGTGTATTAGAAATGATCATATAGTGGTTTCAGAATGTGTTTCCTGAGTAGCTGATTTGCCGGATTCATGGCGTTGTTTTCATGTTTTGACAGGAGATACTCATGGTCAGTTCTCTGATCTATTGAGATTGTTTGAGTACGGTGGTTACCCACCGGCTGCAAACTATTTGTTCCTTGGTGATTATGTTGATCGAGGGAAGCAGAGTGTAGAGACCATATGTCTTCTTCTTGCGTATAAGATCAAATACAAAGAGAATTTCTTTCTTCTACGAGGGAACCATGAGTGTGCTTCTATAAACCGGATATATGGATTCTATGACGAGTGCAAGAAGAGATATAGTGTTCGAGTGTGGAAGATATTTACTGACTGTTTTAATTGTCTCCCTGTTGCTGCTCTTATCGATGAAAAGATCCTCTGTATGCACGGCGGGCTATCCCCTGAGTTGAAGCACTTGGATGAGATTAGGAACATCGCTCGTCCTATTGACATTCCTGATCATGGACTACTGTGTGATCTGTTGTGGTCTGATCCTGACAAGGACATTGAAGGATGGGGAGAGAATGATAGAGGTGTCTCTTACACTTTTGGTGCTGATAAAGTCGAGGAGTTTCTCCAAACACATGACCTTGACCTAATCTGCAGAGCTCATCAGGTATTTGAGAAAACTGTTCTAGACAAGTATAAGTGACAGAGTCTCTTTGGTTGACCTCTCATCATAGAGGCTACTAAAGCTGATGACTTTACTAACTCTTGAAGCATAATTTTGGATTTCTCTGTTTTAACCCATTAAAGTTGATTTTTTCGCGTAGGTTGTGGAAGACGGGTATGAGTTCTTTGCAAATAGACAGCTAGTTACGATATTCTCGGCCCCAAACTACTGTGGAGAGTTTGACAACGCGGGAGCGATGATGAGTGTGGATGATTCCCTGACATGCTCTTTTCAGATCCTTAAAGCATCTGAAAAGAAAGGAAATTTCGGATTTGGCAAGAATGCTCGGCGAGGAACCCCACCCCGCAAGGTGAGGTTTTTTTAAAGCATCAAACGATACAAGTACTCGGTTTTATTGGTGTCTTCTTACGCATCTCACTGTTTTGTTCTCTCTTTTAGGGTGGTGGAAAAGGCTGATGACAAATCCCATTGGCTCAAAGTCATTGCACGAGCTGAACAAAAATCTCTTCTTCTCTAGATCGCTTGGGTATTACTGTCTTTTTCCCTTGACTTTTTCTCACGAAATGAATATGAAGTATCTGACTCTATATAAGCTCTTGTGTCTTCGAGCTCTGTGAATCTGAGATCTGTGAGATACACTTTGTGTTGTTTTTGTTAAAACATTTAATGAAAACCCTGATGTTCCTCTGTGACGACCGCTTGAAAAACGGCACGCAGTTTCTTTTGTGAACTTAATAATGTTAGGTCGTCTACACCCTAGTTCTATATATTGTATCTTCTCTTTATATTTACACACACACAAGTATTCGAATATATGCTCAGAAGAAATCAAGAGAACAACGTAAAAAGATGATTGCTCCACATTTCGCAATCTCAAGTTCCTTTCTTTCGAAGATGATGAATCCAAAGACGAAGATACAAAAACTTAGCACATCCTCAGAAACAGCAAATCCTTTTCTCTTAAAAAGGGATCGGAAAAATATGAAACTCAACAAGTCACAAGTAATCTCAAGTCCCTCTCTCTCAGAGGAGAAGTTCGAAGAAGAAATAGCGAAGAAAAACGATGATGATTTGGCCCTTATGCGCAAAGCTATTTCTTCCGAAGCAAGAAACTCTAACTTTGTCTTCTCTCCTGCATCAATCAACTCCGTTCTCACCCTAATTAATGCAGAGACTGTCTCCGCAGAACGTAAGGCCGTCTTCAGCGAGATCGCTAATGTCGTTTTTCCTGATGACTCGGCGAGTGGTGGCCCCAAGATCAAGGCGATTAACGGCATTTGGGTCGAGCAAACACTCCCGGTTGATCATTCGCTTAAGGATCTTTTGGAGAATGTCATCAAGGCTACTTTCACTCAAGTTGATTTTAGGTCCAAGGTAACTTAATTTATTCCGTTACTCAATTTTCTAATTCCACAAGTACATAGTAGAATTACTTCTAGATACATACGAAAACTTCATAATAATAATAAAAAGAAATTACACGATATGTTCTTTCTAGGTTTATCTATTTAGTTGATATTCTTAGAATATTTAGAGATTGTTTAAGGATTTTAGATTTATTATAAATAATTTTCTTAGTCTTGTAATAATCCTTTGAATACAAAACTCTTTTCACTAAAATAAATCTCAATACACTATCATATCATGTTTAAATGGTAATTACTTGAGATTTACTGACATGTTTGATTGTTTTGAAGGCTGGACATGTATGTACTTAAGGTGCTGAATAAATGGATATCAGATCAAACCAATGGTGTCATCAAAGATCTTCTTCCATCTGGATCCATTACTAGCGAAACTGATCAGGTTTATGGAAATGTATTGTACTTCAAAGGAGCTTGGTATGACAAATTTAAAAAGTCGGATACAAAATTCAAAGACTTCCACCTTCTCAATGGCTCGTCAGTGTCTGAACCATCTATGAGCAGCAACAGAGATTACCAATACGTTGAGGATTATGATGGTTTCAAGGTCCTTAACCTTCCATTTCGACATGGCTTTGGTAGCAATCGAAAGTTCTCTATGCATTTCTATCTCCCTGATGAGAAAGATGGTTTGGATAATCTTGTAGAGGAAATGACATCAACTCCTGGATTTGTGGATGAACACATTCCGAGATACCGAGTTAAAGTTGGTGATTTCAGAATTCCAAAGTTTAAGTTCTCTTTCGGGTTTGAGGCTTCAAGAGCTTTCGAGGGACTGGATTCAATGACGTTGTACCATAAAGCTTGTGTCGAGATCGATGAAGAAGGCGCTGAAGCTGCGGCTTATTGTATCCCATTATGCTCTAGTAATTGTAGGATAGATTTTGTGGCTGATCATCCATTTCTTTTTTTTGATTAGAGAAGACATAACCGATACTGTTTTGTTCACTGGTCAAGTCTTCGATCCTTCCAAATCTTCTTAATCGGGATCAACTCATATGTACCGCGGTTTGGTCTGGTTAAAAATATGGTTACGATATATGTCATGGTACTGATGGTAGTATTGGGTTTGGTTCGTGTTCCATTTTGAGAAGTTATATTTTTAGAAACCGAAAATTGGTTTGAGTCTAGGAGATTTAGGGTTTTC